GACAACACTCATAGCAACAGTAAAGACCTCAATGTATCCAAAGAAATGGAAATCCTGCAAAGTGAGCTCTCACACCATACTGGAGTGAAAGTAGAAACTGCCAGAAGAAACATACTTAGAATACAGTAACATTTTTTCTCTCTCCTATTTCCTATTATTTGCCTTCTATTTCATATTTTATTTTCCTATTGATTTCATCATATAAGGAAAACCATTGATGTTCAAGTGTGTGTGTCTGATTTACTTCACTTAATATCATCTCAAGGTGCATCAGTTTTCCTACAAATGCCACATGTTTGTCTTTATGGTAGAATAGTACTACATTATGTATAAATATTACATTTTCTTTATCCATTTATCTGTTGCTGGGCATACAGGCTGTTTCCAAGATTTAGCTATTATGAATTGTGCTGCTATAAACATGGTTGTAATACATTACTGTGAAATGATGTTTTTAACTCATTTGGGAAGATACTTAAAATAAGAATAGCTGGGTCAAGTGGAATTTCTATTTTTAGTTTTTTTGAGACATCTCCATACTGATTTTCATAATAGTTATATCAGTTTACACTCCCACTAACAATGACAAAGTCTTCGTTTCTCCCCACAACTTTGCCAGCATTTGTCATTGGTTGATATGATGGTAGTCATTCTTTCTGGAGTTAGATGGAACCTTATTGTCTTAATTTGAATTTCTCAGGAGGCCAATGATGTTGAACATTTTTTTGAGGCAGAGGTTGGCTGGCCAGCATATGCAGTGAATTCCACTTAAATTTCCAGTTTTTTTTGTTTGTTTGTTTGTTTTTTGGTACCGGGGATCGAACTTGGGACCTTATGCTTGCAAGGCAGGCATCCAAACCACTGAGCTAAATCCCCGGCCCAACATTTTTTCATGTATCTATTGGCCAATTGTATTTATTTATCTGAGAAATGTCTATTTATTTTTTTAATTAGGTCTTTATTTAGGTCATAATTGTTTACAATTATGTTATCAAATTATGAAATATTTTATTTAAAGATATTTTTCCTATCAACAAATGAGGAATATTAAGGGGGCAATAGTTTAGTTGTTCTAAGATATTTCTAATTCTTACTAATTGACTTAGAATAACTGAATGGCCTCTGCTTATTTTAAATTTAAATTTACTCACAGAAACTCCATGTAAAGAACTGGCAATAATATAGGCCATCTATAAAATATGAATTTAAGAAATTTTAAAAACAGTAATTTGTTTGAAGGAAAAATCTATGAAGGGAAAATAGGTTTTTCCTTAAAATCTTTCTTGATGACTTATTGATTGTCACTAAAAAGATTTAATGTACAGGCCGGGGATTTAGCTCAGTGGTTTCGCCGCCTGCTGTGCAAGCACAAGGACCCAAGTTCAATTCCCGGTACCAAAAAAAAAAAGATTTAATGTACAGCTTAGCTGATGTCAGAGCCTTAATCTAATATTGCTTCTAATGTGACATTTTAGTTTTAATATTTATTCTTAGAAGAGTTTACATATTAAACATAGAACCAAAAATAAATACCTTCGTTCATAGGGGAAACTATGCAGGAGACATTTGCTACTTTTGTAGTCAAATTTTATTAAGGTTAATCCCATGTTTGATTCATTCTTACTCTTTAGATTTTTGTTGCTAATCTGTAGGCCAAACTTCAGATTCCTTTTTTTTTCCCAAATAGTTAATTATGGGATCTTTATAGTTAAAATTGAGGATTATCCTTACCATCTAAATAACCATTACATTTGAAATATACCTTCCAAAGTCAGTGCTGGCCCTGGAGTTCAGCTGCATTACCGGAGGAAAGAACTGCTGTGCTTGGTATTCCTACCAAATGGGCTATTTTGCAGAATCTTTACAACTCAGGATGTGTTGTGGTTTGGGAGAAGAGAGTAAGATTTCACTAGTTGTTTACTCTATTGCTGCCTCATTCCAACTAAAACATAATTCTTTGCATAACATGTTCTCTTTTACTTTAGAAAAATTCCCACGTGGAATTCATCAGACACAAATAAAATAATGTTTTATTCCTCTCTGGATCTTAAGGAAAGAGATCTGTATTTTTCTTCAGCTCTTGCAGAAAAAGAGCTCTATTTTAAAGGTGAACCTAAATTTACTTTACAATTCTTTGATTTTTGAATTTTTCTATCTAACCTAGAAAATTGTGAGTTTATTTACTATACTTAATATAATTTAGTTTTAAAAAATAAATTATTTTACAGTTTCATAATACAAATAAATTGCTTACACAAAAACTAAACACCAATTAATCAATTCAATATTTATTGTACCTGTTGACTTTGCAGAAGGAATTTAAAAGGACTTGACCTCCAGGAGACTAGGTAGATAAAACATATTACAAAAGTAGAAAATTATGAAGGGCTAAAGAAAGGGTGGGGCTCAGAAGAGCTTATAAAAATGAAAGTGGATATATATTTACCCTAGAAGTATGATTGACTAAGAAAACTAAGAATAAATGATATTCAGAAAGCACCATATGAAATAATAAGGTAGGACAAAGAAAATGACATGTTAAACTGTTCTTGAACATTACAGAGAATGCAATCATATTGTGCCTCAAAATTTGCATGATGCAATTTGTCTGTAGCAGAGTATAAGGCTGGAAACATATGGTCAATATGGTCAATAAAATTCATTGCCAAAGTGAGGAAGAGTGCAAGTTAAAAACAATAAAGAGGCATTCCATGACTAGTCATGAACCCTCAAAATGTTTAAAATTGTTTAATCATAGTTTTTACATTTATAAAAATATACTTCCAAAATACAAATATATAACATAACATGTTGATAAAATTAGTTTATTTTCAAATTATATTTAATAATAGACTAGATTAGATGAATAGCCTAGATTACTCTAATAAATTAAAACAAAAAAGAGAATCAAAGATGAACCATAATTAGAATTAGAATAGGTGACTGAAGAATAATCTTAACTTTAAGCATGTTCTATATATCTGAGTTTACATTCCATTCACAAATATGGTTTAGAGAGTAAATATTTTGCTGAATTCTACATGGAATCTCAAGTTTAATCTGTCTGCTTTTATGTTACATAGTTTTCCAAAAGAATCAGTCATTCTTTTCAGAAATATCAACACTTTACTGAGTGATTCTTTCATGGCACTGTTAAAAGAACCGTGGAAAATTTACAGAATCAATACACACAGGCAATGTCTAGATAAGGCATACCAAACAAATACTAAGACTATCCATCATTGTCCATCAGCGAACCCACTTATCCTTCAAGATTGAGTTTAAAAATCACTTTCTTAACTATTTACCAAATATCCTAGAAAGAAACGTCTACTTTTTGTGAATTCCTTAATCCCATCATTGTATTACAATCTTAATGATATTTAGTTTTTTTGTAGTGGGTTTTTTTTTTTTAATTTTTGTTTGGGTTTAGTATTATTTAGGACTTACTCTGACACAATTCATTCCATAGATGTTATGTACCATTTATTTTATAAGCACTTTGAGAATAAATCACAGACAAAAGCAAGGGATCATGTTTAATGAAGCTGCACATAAATATTCACAAATTATTACTTTTTAAAGGAGGCTATCAAGGAGAGTAATGAATGTTTTGTTTCAAAAGTTGAAAAAATACATAATGAGAAAAAAACATTTTTCAGTGTGTGAACATGTGTTCAAAATAATTTGTATATTCTCTGATCTTGTGTGCTTGTTGATAATACTTGATTTTTAAGTGTGTAATAGGTTATACTCTGATAAAAAGAAACAATAAAGGATAGAAAGAGGAAAGAATGTGCCCAAGATTAGTAGCCAGGAAGAGTAGAGCATATTGGTAGGTTTGACCAGTAGGAAGAAAGAATGTTGTTTTATGCAATGTATGAAGACTCAGAGATTTTCACAGAACTGAATTCTAAGTAGGAAGGTTATCAATATTAATAGAGGAGAGAGAAAACATGTTAGTATGTTAACAGTAAGTTTTAATGATCAAGCCACTGTGTTAACTGCCCATATAAATGGGATATAGTATTGCAGATGATATAAAAGGTAATTCACACACTATATTTTTTGAAGCTTAAAGTGTTTTAACCTTCTAATAGTCTGCATTAGGTAGCATAATAGTCTGTGAACTTATGCATAAAATGCAAATATACTCTTGAATATTCTCTATTCTCTCTATATATATTTATATATTTATATTATGTATATTTATATATATTTACATATATATAAAAATGAAACCACATATTACTGGCTGCCTCAGAGGAATAAGGGTTGTCTGAGATCCTTGTCTTCATTGTTTAATGCTTTCCTTAATGTTCTTCCTTAATGTTTTCATATATATATGGATCTAAAATGTATGATGGGACTGGTTTAGACATTTCATTTTAGAATTTATAACAAGTTTATAAGATTGGTGTTGTTATACTCATTAACAAGTAAAGAACTAACATTTGATAAAGTATGCCTGAAGTGACTCAGCTGTGAATAACAAAACAAGTGCTCATTGTCAGAGCTTGGGCTCTTTCCCCATGTTATATTGGCCTTGCTCATAAAATGTCAACTGGCTGAAAAAAAAAGTCATTGGTCTTATATTTGAAGATATATTTAACTTTGGTTTTTTACTACATATATTAGAGGGCTGATGGTAGGTAGCAACTGAGGGTTGAATGATAATCTTCCAGATTGAGGCAATAAACGAAACCAAATTGAATCTAAATTGAACCTGTAATTGTATATTTTCTAAAAGAACTAAGAGATCATTGAATTTTTTGGTTTTTAACAGGAATGAATACTTTAGGATAGCAACATCAATTGATGGTCCAGCACAGATTGAGAAATTCAAATTCTCTCTGAATTTTCAATTCTGTAATATTTGAAATATCACAAAGTATCTTCTAATACAAATATCAAAGCAATGATGTTTTGTTTCATTTCCTATTTCTTGAAGATAAATTAATCAATAAAATGAATTAAGTCAATTCATATTTCTTTTCAAGTGCTCAGCTTCTTGTGGTAAAGGTATAAAGTACCGTGAAGTGCTCTGTGTTGACCAATTCCAAGAGAAAGTAGAAGAGAAATACTGCAGCCATCTGAGGAAACCTAGAACCCACAAAGCTTGTAGATCTGTCAGATGCCCTTCATGGAAAGCCAATAGATGGAAGGAGGTACGTGATGTAATTTACAATGACATATGTATTTTTTGCATTAAAAAAATTTTAATTCAGTCTTTGCTTTCAATAACTAAAAGTTTTACTTCTTTAAATTTGTAATTATTTTGTTATACACTTATCTGCATAATCCTCTAAATTAATACTGTACAGTGTTGATATATGTGCTGCCAATATTTAAGTAGCAAATTAGTCATTTGATTTTTTCATAGCCATAAAGTGTATAAGAAAATTCTATTACTAAATGGCGGTGTTACAGATTATCTTGGTAATCAAACAGCAAAACATATGTATGATAGTGCATTTAGTAGCAGCTTTGTTTCCACTCCACATATTGGATTTGAGCTAAGATTGCATCCTGGAGAAATGACTGGATCCTGGAGAAATTGAAGATAGGATTGTTATTGGATACCAAGAATTATGAAGGTGGGAAAGCTAGATAACCTAGATGGGGCTAAGACTAAAGTAGAGTTAAGAAAAACAAAGTTGATTAATAAGAGTTCCTGGCTGAGCATTCAGTTAATAAACAAAGCTTCAAAGATATCGATGATGATACCTGCCCTGACATACTCAGAGAAGTGAGTTCAAAATCTGAGTTGGAGGAGCCATGAGTCTGAGAGTGGTTTTCAAGCAAACACTATCTTGGGAAATGGTCTATTAGTCAGCTTTCCTAATGCTGAGATAAAATACCTACCTACACCACAACTTAAAGGAGAAGGAGTTTATTTGGCTCATGGTTTCAGCTATTTTAGTCCATAGTCAGCAGGCTCCAAGGCAAAAACATCATGGCAGATGGTATAGTGCAGCAAAACTACTCAATTCAGGACAATTAGGAAGAAGAGCATAGGGCAGAGTGCCATCCAGATATACACCCTCCAAAGGCACATCTCCAGTGACCCACCTCCAACAACACACATTCAGCTAAAACACCAGTGGATCAATCCACTGAGGAGTATAGTGCCCACATGATCCCCTCACCTCTCCAGGAGTAGATAATTAAGATTAACTGGAAGGGCCAGGGATTTAGCTCCATGGTTCCACTGCATTCCCCACAAGCACAAGGTCCCAAGTTCGATCCCTGGTACAAAAAAATAAAACAAAACAGATTAACTTGCATAATTAGGAGTAGACAAAAGTGATGAATAAAGTCAGACTATTAACTGGAATAATCTCCTAAGGACTGATTTCACTGGGCTGGGCTTTCAACAAAGCTGCATCCACCAGTATCTGAGGTTGTTTATCCATTTCTTAAAGAGCCTGGTCTTGAAAAGAAAAAGGAAACCTGTCTTCTGCCACAAAAATTTCTTATCTCTGTAAGATGTTGGAGTTCCTTCCAGGCCGCCTGTCCACCACTCACAGCACAAAGGAGGTGAGACATGGGGTTGCCAACAGCACCCCCCCACACCAGTCAAAATGAGAAGACACATAAATAAGTCTCAAAAACAGACTTCCAGATTACCTATAGCAACTCCAAAGGGAAATGAGATGGTACACTCTGATACTCAACCACCTACACTCCCTGAACTGGCAACAAAAGAGGACCTGGAAAAAATGAAATCAGAAATAATTTCTCAGATAATAGCAGAGACTGTGCTCATAGTGCAAGACATGATTAATTAATCTAGAGAGGATCAGAGGAATATGATGGAATCCCAACATAGGAAAAAAATGGAATCCATAAAACAGATTCGAACAGATTACCAGGAGATTAAAAACTCCACTGAAAGTCAACACAGCAGAATAAGCCAATATGAGGACAGAATTTCAGATATAGAAGATAAGACTGCAATTAGTGACCAGGAAAAGAAAAATTGCTTCAATATTGTAAAGGACCACAAGAAATCAAACCAGCAGCTGCTAGACAATGCAAAGAAGAATAACATAAGATGGATTGGAGTCAATGAAGAAACAGAAAAGAGTGCAGATGAGATGAAAAAACTGTTCACAGAAGTAATGGCAGAAAACTTCCCAAGGAGGGGAAAAGAACTTGACATACAGATAAGTGAGGCATACAGGACTCCAACTAGCTGTGATCAAAAAAATCTACACATAGGGATATAATTGTTAAGATTCCAGACACCCAACAAAAAACAAAGTTCTACAAGCAGTTAGAGGAAAGAAACAAATCACATACAAAGGAAAGACCATCAGAATCACAGCAGACTTCTCAAACCAAGCCCTCAAGGCAAGAGGAGCATGGACTAACATATTTCAAGTCCTAAAGGAAAACAGCCTCCAACCCAGATTGATATACCCTGCCAAACTATCTTTCAAAATTGATGGAGAAATAAGATACTTTCATGACAAAGAGAACCTTAGAAACTTCAAGAATAGCAAACCAGCACTCCAAAAATTTTAGACAATATCCTAGGAAAACACAATGAGGTTAAAACCCTAGGAAGCAAAGCAGATTGAATCCATCTGGCATGACAAGAAACTAAATGCAAAGGGGAAAATCCAACAAAAAGAAAAGGTCATGACAATGATATGCCAACATGTATCAGTTATGATCATCAATGTTAATGGTCTCAATTCACCAATCAAAAGAAAGAGACTGGCAAAATGGGTCAAGAAGCAAAATCCAACAATATGCTGCATCTAAGAAGCACACTTTATTCAAAAAGAAACTCATAGACTGAAGGTTAAAGGGTGGAAAACAATACTCCATGTGACAGGAACCCCCCAAAAAGCAGGAGTAGCTATCCTCTTGGCAGATCAAGTGGATTTCAAACCAACACTGATTAAGAGAGACAAAGAAGGACACTACAT